TTTTTTTTGTTGTTCCCTTTTCATTTGTCCGAACTGTTTATATCTCATACTAAAATATCGTCGTAATAGTTTGGTTGTTACGTTGTGACATTGGGGTACAATAGATGTTGCCCATACATATTGTAGGGATTGTACAAGTGTATCATACACATTAACTTTTTCGGTTCTCGGAAAATGAATATAAAAAATAAAATGTTCATAACATTTTCTTTTGATACGTGTAGACTTACCGGTAAAAATGTCCTTGTGTTAGTAATATCTTTCAATGTTCGTGAATAGATGTGATCATTTGCAGATATCTGTGTGCGCAAGATTATTAAAAATAGAAGGCACTGCACCGAATTTAAGCTTCCTCTTCCCATCCTCTCTAATTTTCTCCCAAGAAGAAACGTCAAAATGCTTCTGGAAAAAATATTATAAAATCATGAAACAAAAGAAACATCTTATAAAAAATATTTTAGCTATATAAGTTATAACTCACAGAGCATACAACTGATGAATTCATAGGCTGCCAAGAATATCCATTTATTTGTCTCACATTAGTGATCCACATATTTCTTATGTCAGAATTTGATAGGAAATAAACGAAAGCAAAGAAATGAATTTTCTTTTTTTTGGTGTTCCCCTTTTTTGTATACATTTTTACAGCCAAATACACAGCACTTTCTGCATAAAAAAAATTCTCTAAAGAGTCATAAAATCAACACAGCTTTCAAGAAAAGGTTAGGTTAGGTTAAGTCCGATACTAAATATTCACACAAATAAGAATACTTACACCATAATAATAGTTTTTTATTGCACTTCGACACTGTATTGTCTAAATTTTTTGTCTATGTATGTACATACGTTATAAAACTATATCTTATATTGATGCATTAAATGCAATAGTGAATTAAAATGGCGCTCTGATCACGTGATTTAGACAGCCAATCAGACCATACCCTTCAATAACGCATCTCTGTTTTCTAAGTCTCTACCTTCACCAGGTTTTAGCTGTCGCTCGTCATTTATTAAATATTTATTAATAAAAGAAGTTTGAGAGAGAAAAATGATATCTCTTCTATTATATAAAACTGAAATTTTCTGCTTTAAAGCATATTTTATTCTTTCCACGCAAAGCTACTCTCACCCCATCTCCCCCCTGCTTATGGACGCACGACTTCTACGCGAAGCGACTCTCACCCCATTTCCCCCCTGAAGGAACGCGCAACTTCTATGCGAAGCGTCTTCCATTCCACCTCCACAGTGGTCGAAACATAGTAAAACCCGTACATAGGGCTCCAATCGTTGTGAAACCTCATTTTTGTTGCTTAAAAGTGAAGACTGGAAGTTTTTAGGATTAATCTTGAAATATAAGTCCTCCAACAATTTCGAATTCAAAATGGCGGAAAGCCGAATTATGAAAACGGATAAACGAATTTAAAAAAATCTTTGGATTAACTATGAAAAAAGTCGCATTCAAGAAATGACTCCTTCTTAATGGTCGATTAAAAATGATATTATTTTTCATAAGTTTTAAAAATAAAAATTACAAATCATTATTCAATTAAAAGGAATAAACCTATTTTCGGCCAAAGAGCGGATATTAGTGCATAAATATTTCAAAGTGAACTTATATACATATTTAATTCTATAAATCACGCTTTTTTGGTCTTGAAACGCAATTTTGTAAACAGTATTGGGATAGTAATATCACATATTAAGTTGCCAAGCAATTTATTAATCTTTGAAGCTAATAAGCATCTTGAGAAATGTAAAAAATTTAATTTATTGCGAAAAATATAAATAATTAAATTTAATTAGAAGATACAAAGAACTTAATTTTTTACTTTTAATGTTTTTATTTTTTACAATATTTAAATTTTTTATATTTTAATTATTTAATTTTTTTTGTATTTTTTATTTTATTAGAAATAATTATTTATGTTTGGGTACGTATGTATATACTGTAATCTGTATAATAATAATTCTTTTCTTCAAAAATGTTTTATTAAAAGAATTTAATATATATATGTATATAGGTAATTATTTCTTTGTATTTAAAAATTATATTTCTAGCAAATGAATTTACTCGAGAGACAAGTAATTTTTTACCCGTGTAGATATTCGCGGTTTTTATTTATATTTTCTTTGTATCTACTACATTGAAATTATTTATTTGTTATTTTTAATTCGAAAATTTCTCAGTAATAATACTATTTTCAATCAGTAATAATGTACAAATGACTTGCTAAATACGATTTGTTTCATGATTCATCTAAATATTTTTTTAACTTGTTTATCCATTATTATGAATTTGATTTTCCGGCAATTCGACATTGTTAAAAATTAATATCTTTAAAAACTTTCAGTCTTTACATTTGACAGAAAAACGTAATTTCACAATGATATAAGTTCTATGGCCGAATTTCATTATACTTCGGACCACTACGCGAAGACAGATATAAAATTATAAAATTATAAAATCAGTTATAAAATTTGCGCACATAAAAGTATTTTTCTCGAAAAAGGGCAAATACACGAAGAGAATTTTCTTTTAAAATTTATCCTGAAAATATGACAGTCGTGGGACAACATTGTATTTCGAAGATTTTTACCATGCACTTCAGTAAAATTGATCAAACTTATTTTAAACTTTATTGTAGTTTTATTAATGAATGAGAAGGATTTATGTTAAAATTCTTCAAAATACAATGTTGTCCCACGACTGTCATATTTTCAGGGTAAATTCTAAGAAAAAATTCTCTCCGTGTAGGAGCAAAATCAGAATGAAACGAGTTTCCTAAGAAATTCCTTTGCATTAAAAAAAAATTTCTTGAAACCCTTTGGAACTTTTTAATATACTTTGTTACGTCACGTTACTATTGAGATTTTCTCCATTTTTAGAGTCAATACATTTAAGTAATTTACCTGGGGATTGGAGATCAAGTTGTGCGATTAAGAATGTTCACTGGGAAGTATTGGATAATTATTCGGAAGAATAATTTTGAACCCGGTGCCAAAAAGATTACGATGCTTATAGACGAATCTACGTGGATTGGCTTTTCAAATACCTTGTAGTTAGGAAACGTGAGATTGATCTCTAATTGCTTGAGAGTATATTACGCGTTCGCGGGGTAAGTCTACCGGTTTTTTTATCCAATAACTGCGCTAATCTTTGGAAATAGGGGAAAGGATCGTGATTTGAAATGAGAGCCGATTTTAATTGAAATATTAATCTCTTCTCTCGCTATCTTCGGCCGCCTTTAGTAACCATGGAGGTAATACAAAAGAATTAGCAATGTTCCAAAGAACTGCCGTAAGACGGGGCTATTGGCGGCGTCATTCGTAACAGCCCTCTGGATGTGAGATAATTATGAATACTCCGAGGAAGTGCTATAAGACGGGGGCCACGCTATTGGCAGCGACAGTCGCAACAGCCCCTCGGACACTACTGTATATGTACTTGTATGTAATTAAATGAGACGCAGAGCAGAGACTTAGGTTTCAGCCGATTTGATTCAGTATTTTCGTTTAATAAGAAAAACAGAACAATGAGAAAAGAAAAACATACGTGTGTTTCTAACGAAGCGCGAGGATAGTTCTCACCTTGATCTAACTGATTTCTGACTGTACTGGATAGGTTTCTACTTCTGTTCTATGAATGAATGTTTCTGCTTTTGGCAGCTCCTTTTATATTTTGGAAATGAATGTGGGAATGTCCTTTCAGGACCAATCAATACTTAATATATGCTTTTATTTATTATTTTATAAAAAGGCTTCTTTGAAAAAGATCGTGGGATATTCTTAGACATTATTTAGGGTAGATAATCTGTGTGACGCATAAAGGTAGTATAACGTGATCTATCTGTTGGTTTGAATGTTTAAATAAAAAAACTAAATATACCCTCCTATAAAAGAGAAAAGGAATTTTCGGTTTCGAAATAAAGATAAAATAGGGACGAAGTATCAAGATCAAGACGTAATACTAACCTAGGGATAAGATAAAAATAAGGTATCATATATTTATCATATATTTATAATAAAAATATTTATAATAATTAAAAATATTTATAATAAATCATATATTTATAATAAGGAAAAAGAGATCTACCAGGATGTAACAACATCACTTTTGGATGGAATTTGTACTTCAAAAAAGCGTTTATAAAGCACTAAGTTTTTTTATTTTAATGGAATAAATTTTGAATATTAATAATAGTTTTCAAGAGCTTTTGTTATAAATAGATGCAATAAAAAAGAAACATTGTAAACAATATAAGCATTTATTTATAGTATTGCTCTGAAAAGATTATCAAAAGATACGGTAGTGGCTCGCGCCAAATGGGCGTGCAGCGCGAGACCGCCCATGTCTTTTACGCGAGTCAGCGAGTTGCGAGCATCCGAGCATTATTGGTTTTTTAATAAAGGCTGGATCGATGGAGTCTGAATATGAGCTCAATCGACAGCTTGGGTCCGAATTATACAGGGTTAGGTAGTGCTAAGTTAAAAAGATAAAAGTTAAGGAGGTTGTAAGGCAAATGCAATATGTTAAGAACTACTTGAAAAAATTACAGACTATTCTAAATTTCATTTAATAATAATACAAAAAAAAATAGAAACAATTGACCACCCGGATCAAAAGTTATTTAAATAAGTAGTAATATCTTTTAAATTTGTACTCTAATATAAATATATGAAAATGTATTATAAAATAATGATAAAAATCTCAATTTTTTAATATAAATACTCTAGGAATTCAACAATATTTTTGTAAAGTTATCTTGAGATGCAGACATTAATTGTTCAGTAAATAAATAAAGTTTGTTATTTGTTATAAACTAATGGTGAATCTCAATGAAACTTTCCATAAGTCATGTTTAGTACTTAATATATTTATATAAAAACATTTAGATTTTTCTTATTATTTTAACAATTTTTGTTTATAACAATAAAACTAATAACAAATAAAATAAATAACTTATAAAAATGTGTTGCTTAATAAAACCAGAATGTTATGAACACAACTTTCACATGTATGTAGTTTGTTTAAAGCGAAAATATTAATATGGGTGTTTTATGCCCTTACAACCTCCTTAAGTTAAAAAGTTAAAAAGTTAATTAATTTTAGCTTAACTTACTTATATTTTAGACTCTTAACTTTTTGACTTTTTATTTAGCTACATTTTATCTGTAACTATTAATTTCTTATTTTATTTTTTTGAAGTTACATCTCAGACATAATACGCGGCAATAGCGATAGCTTAAAATGAGATAAAAATTGTAAAAGAGAGCTGTAGTGTATTGGGAGTGAGAGTAATTAAACGATGTAGAGATTACTAAGTTTAATGTTGGATTGTACAGAGAGATGAATATGCCCCTCAGAGCGTACAAAAAACAAAACAGTGCTCCCCTCCTCTGTTCCGCGGGTTACGAGCGTCGGAAGAACAGAAAACATACAACAGCGCCACTACTCGCTCCGCGTGCGCAATACCTCCGCTCGGTCGATCCTACTCGCGGGATACTTGAATTAGAATAACGCAATACATAACACTCCTCTCTCACTAAACCAATATTACTTTCTAGGTTGGCCCATCCAAAAGTCTGCAACCCAAGCCGGCGGTACTCGCCTACGTGCTGGCAATTCCTTCTGCCGTCCCCCAGCTAGCTCTGGTGTACTTGTTTCCACTGCTGGGGATGGCTGTCTTTCATTCGGTTCAGCTGATGTTTCATTTGTGTGGTTCTCTTCTTGCGATGTTGTTTCTTGATCCGGCATCCCTGGTATTTCTGATTCTCCTGAATCCAATTGATTGTACGAATTCTCCGGATGAACTCCAGATTCTTTTGAACCAAGAATTTGGTCCACGTGTCGCTCCCACACTCGACCATCTTCTAATCTAATTCGATAATGTAACTTGCCGATACAATAGATGATTTTCCCTAACTTCCATTTTTCTTTACTATTAGTTACGGCATCTCACGCTTTCACCTACTGAGAATTTCCGGACTTTCTGTCCTGCATTGCTATTTGTAAAGTTCTGCCTACTAGGCAATTTAAAAGTTAAATACGTACGTAGGTGACGCTTAAACATACATTCCGCCGGAGCAACTCCGGTGACACAATGTGGAGTTACTCGATACTGTATTAGAAAGTCACGCAAAATTTCCTCTAAAACAATTTTTTTGTTTCTTGCTTCTGCACACATTTTCTGCAAAGAGTTCTTCATTGTCTGGACAAATCTTTCCACCTGACCATTTGTGGCTGGGTGATAAGCGGCTGTAAACTTAGGCGTAATATTATTATTAGCTAGAAATTGTAAAAATTCAGATGAGCGAAAGCTTCGGCCATTATCCATGACCATTATCTCCGGACAACCGAAATTCATGAAAATCTCTTTACATTTCTCAATAGTACTCCTTGCCGTGATATCCTTCATGACGAAAACGAACGGCCATTTAGAGAAAGCATCTACCATTAAAAAGAAATATGTGCCCATAAACGGACCTGCATAATCTACATGAACCCTCTCAAATGGTGCCTTAGTAGGTTCCCACTCATGAACTTCCACTTTCGGTGGATCATTACGGTACGTATTACAAATGCTACAGTTCTCTGCCAATTTCTCGATGGATTTGTCTAATCCCGGCCACCAAAACAGCGATCTCGCTAATGCTTTTATTTTGACAATATCAAAGTGACTTTTATGTAGTTCTTTAAGCAACCGATCACGTAAAGAGTGCGGTATAACCACTTTTCCGTTGCAAAAAAGAATGTCTTTTTGTATACTACATGATGCCTGATTAATATTGAACCGTAATTTCGCCGGTACTTCCTTTTTCCCACATAATGCGTTTATAATTTTTTTTAGCTGAACATCTTCCTGTGTAGCCCGAGCTAAACTCTCCATCGAGACTGGCAAATCCTGCAATGTCGCAATTTCATGTATGTCTACCACATCCCGTCCTGCCGCAGGGTTCGGAACCGGTAAACGCGATAAACAATCCGCATTACTATGTTGTTTCGAATTTTTGTATTTAATGTTGAACATATAACCTTGTAAGAAAATCGCGTAATGCTGCATACGTAGCGCTGTGTAAGCCGGTAATGGTCGTGAAGGTGAAAATATCTGTACCAGCGGACGGTGATCGGTGTACAAAATGAAACTATTGCCGTATAAGTACTGGTGAAATTTCTTAATTCCGAAAATGATCGCGTACGCTTCTTTGTCTATCTGTGCGTATTTCCTCTGAGTACTTGACAATGATTGCGACGCAAACTGAATAACCCGCTCCGTACCGTCAGAGTAACGATGAGACAAAACCGCACACCCCATAAGGGCTGGCGTCCGTCGCTAAAATCAACGGCAACCTCGAATCGAAATGTGCTAGTATCATGTTACTCTTAAAATTTTCTTTTGCTAATTGAAATGCTTGTTCGCATTCCCGAGTCCATTTGAAAACAACTCCCTTTTGCAATAACACATGTAATGGAGCTAATATTGTACTTAAATTCTTAATAAAACGACCGTAATAATTAATCATACCCAAAAAAGATCGCAATTCTGAAATGTTGCTTGGCCGGGGCATCTGATCAATCGCGTCCATTTTGTCAGCCGACTTATGCACCCCGTTTTTGTCAATCTTATAACCGCAATAATGTATAGAATCCTTCATGAATTCACTTTTGCTCTCATTAATTCTAATATTTGCGTCGGCTAAACGCTGCAAAACCAGTTCAACACGATGTAAGTGAGTTTCATCGTCAGGTCCCGTAACCCTGATATCGTCGAGGAAAACCGATACCCCCGGAATGTCCTGCAGTAAATTTTCCATTACACGTTGCCATATTGCTGGTGCCGAAGCTACACCAAACATAAGTCTTGTACATCTAAAAAGGCCTTTATGAGTATTTAATGTAAGCAAATCGCGGTCTGCTTCCTGTATTCCCAATTGTAAGTACGCCTGTTGTAAGTCAATCTTCGTGAATTTAATACCACCCGCCATAGAAGAAAATAATTCATCAACCGTAGGTAGTGGATGCTCGTCGATCAGCAAATGGGGGTTAATCGTAACGCTAAAATCACCACAAATACGGATTTGATTGTTTTTCTTAAGCACAGGAACGATGGGGGTGGCCCAACGCGATGTATTAACCTTTAAAGAACACCCTCTTGTTCTAGATTCCGTAACTCCTGTTCTACTAACGGTAATAATTTGAAAGGCACTGTACGAGCCTTTAGAAAAATTGGATTTGTATTCTTTTTTATCGATAAACTAGCTTCAATACCACGTATTTTTGTAGATGAGGGATTTAATTTTGCCCGATAATTCTGTAATAAATCTGTAACTCTAGCCTGAACATCAGAGCGTGTATTCGTTAGTGCGTTTATTGAGTTCGTAAGTGACAATTGTAATTTTCGTATCCATTCGCGACCTAACAACGGTTCACGATCCACGTTTGAAACGTATAAATTTAATTTAATCAGATTTCCCCGCCAGGCAACTTTCACTGGTAACATTCCCATCACTTTAATAGGCGTTTTGCAAAAGGTAATTAGTTGTAACGATGTTGCTTGTAACTGTATTTGCGGAAAAAACTGACGCGCTGTACTTGCACTGACGATCGAAACTGCTGCTCCACTGTCGATTTCGAAACGCATACGTCGATTCTCCACGCAGAGCGTTTTGTAAAATTTATCCCGATGGTCTAATTGTTCCACACATACGATCTCCTCGATCTGATTTGCAGCCGCACGCTTCGCTCCCATGCACACTTTCCGTAGGTGACCTGGCGTTCCGCAATTATTACATCTAATACTACGATCTAAAGTGCACTTATTTGCTAAATGATTACCGCCGCATCTGAAACAAGAAATATTAGTAGGTATGTTCGTACTCGCGGAATTTGTATGAGTCTTTTTGTGTTTAGGTTTGACATTTCCGTTTTTATCTTTAAACGTTTTAGCAGTCTTCTTATTCTTTTGTTTCTTCTTTGATTTATTGATCCCAGCACCGATATACTCGACGGCCACGGTTCCCGCTTGCAGCTGTTGTGTATCCTTCTCGGAGAGTTCCAGGACCGTCGCAATTTGAACTGCCTTATCGAAGGTTAGGTCTCTCGTTTCCAATAATCTTGTCTGACTTCGACGACTGGCTAACCCAAAAACTAACTGGTTCCTTAATGCCGTCTGCAAATACACCCCGAAATTGCAATGTACACTCAGTTTATGTAACGCAGCCACGAAGTCCTTGATTGACTCGCCCTCTTTTTGTTTCCGTTGGTAAAAACGGAAATTTTCGGCGATCTCCAAAGGTTCTGGCGCATAGAATTCGCCCAGATTCGTGATCAAAGAATCGAAAGTTGCCGAGTATGGATCTACCGGCGCCAACTTGTTGCAAATGACATCAAAAGCTGCTGATCCGATGTAATGTAATAGATATAACGTCTTTTGATCTTCAGGTATCTTAAAAATTTTAACGGCCGCCAAAAACCTTTGCAGCCAACGTTTCCACTCTGTAGAGGACGGATCAAAAGATTCAATCGCGAAAGTTCCATGCAGCACAACTTCCGCCATTTTTATAAATCCACCGTATATCGAATACCCTGCTCTATTTTACTTTTTTTTACTTGCAC